CAATGAATTAGCTGAGGATGAGTCTGAGAAGGAGAGACTCTACAATGTTGGAATGAAGTACCTTACTGAAAAATGTAAGACTTAGACATACTTAAATTTGTAATTTTATTGATGCATACTATACATGTATAATCAAGAGTATTCTGATTTTCTAATTATTACGCTACGTTTACACAGCAACGCAAAACACATCGTTTTTAGGCTGCGTTTACACAGCAAAGAAAAACGTATCGTTTTAACGATACACTTTGAACACCGTTTTTGTTTCCATAGAGTCCTATCAAGATTCCATCACATTTTCATTCGTTTTTGTGTAAACAGAAGCATAAAACAGGCACAAAACTGTACGGATTGCATCGTTTTTGTTGCCGTGTAAACGCAGCCTTAAAGTATCCACTTTGAACACCGTTTTTGTTTTCAAAGAGTTCTATCAAGATTGTATCATGTTTTCATTTGTTTCTGTGTAAACGGAAGCATAAAACAGGCACAAAACTAGACTGATTGCATCGTTTTCATTGCTGTGTAAATGTAGCCTTAGTTGGGAGGTAACTGGGGTGAACTGAGCCCACATGTCATATTGATCCTTTTGTTTTGCTGAAAATTTAAGCCAATTCTGATTGTATATTTTGAGCATCCAAAGTTTTGATCAAAGGCTATAACTGACTAACTTAATTATTGTAAAAGACAAAATTTTAAACTATAGCAATACTTGACTTAACTAAAATGAATAGGTAGTTTTGCCCCAGGCTTAATGACTAGAATTTATTAGCTTCATGATACTAATGTACTTGTGTATTATTACATGTAGCTCAATCCCAAGATGATTATGACGATTATGATGATGAAGAAGAAGATAGCAAAATGGATCAGTCTTCAAAAGAAAGTGGGAACGTTCCATCTCAAACTTCATCTGCTGATCAGCCAAACAAGACCACACCTGGTGACCCTATTAAAATAATAATAGAAGAGGTACCACCAAGTACATCATCTCCTGCCACCAGCGTATCCACAATCCCTTCAACTACTGAACTACATGCAGCTAGTTCTAGGCCTCCTCTCTCAACCCTCTCACCTAATTCTGCTTCCTCTTCAGCACCTATCACAGAGGAGCGTATGGATGTTGATTTTCGGCCAGTTGAGGAGCAAGAAACATTTCCATTGTTACCGGAAGGAATGACAAAGGAAGAACTACTGGAGAAAGTAACCAAGTTATTTCCTACTTTTAAACCGAACACTATCCTGAGGTTTTCGAGTCTGATACCTCCTAACCCGGTGTCAGTACCTAATCCATGGAAAGACTGTAAGAAACCAGCCAAGAGAAAGAGGAGGGTTCAAGAGGAGGAGGAGGAGGAAGGAGAAGAGAGAGAGTTTAAACTGAACTATGGGCCAGTCCCTGATCCTGAGATGTGTGACGATCAGGAGAAGAGGTTTTTGTGTCCCGTTGGCAGTGTAGAAGAAGGAGAGAGAGGAGAGGGTTTAGGAGGAGAGAGGAGAGCGGTTGATAGTGAGACCAAGGAATGGAGATTTGGTCCTGCTAAGGTTTGGTATGACATGATTAATGTACCAGAAGATGGTCATGGACTGGACTACGGTTTTAAACTAAAGGTATGTTGATTTAGAAGAAATTTAGGAGACTTTTGGTCCCCCTTATTCAGTCTAGGTCTCCTGAAATCCTCCATATTTTATTTTTGGTCTCTCATACATGTGTTTAGCCTACATTTAGCCGTCCCTAAAAATTTATACCTAGATTTAATAATGCTTAATTTCTTATGCATTTTCATGAATATAACTTACTGTACTTCTCTACTTCTAGTCTTCATCAGTTGAGCAAGATGAAGGGTTACCTGGTTCAGATATTGATGATCCATTGCCTGATGATGCTTTCCTCATGGTCACCCAACTGCCTTGGGAGAATGACATACTCACTTATATACCACCCACTACTGGCCCTCATAAAACTGCCCAAGGCAAGAAATAAGCAATTAAATAATCACTATCTCTTTATAGGTGGTGTATGGACTACTGCTAGTGATAGTCGGCAGATGGGAGGGACATTTGGAGGCGTGGCTCCAGAACGGACTCTTGATTTACCAGAGTCAATGTTTCCGGTACAAAATAATGACCTCATATTTGGAAAATGGGAAGACGATATAATATTTGATTCAAACGTAAGAAAGAAATATTCACATCCACAATAAGCAGCATCCATAAGTATATTTTATGATGATAAATTTTTTATATATTTATTTGTCTCTCTGTCTCTCTTTTATTACAGGCAGTTAAGTCAATACCCAAGCCAGTGTTGCCAAGGTTGGATCCTAATGATCCTAACATTATCATTGGATTACCTCCTGAACCTCCTCCTCCTCCCTCCCTTGACAAAGACAGCAAAGACAACAAAAAAGTAATCAATTGAAACTTAAACTTACATTTGATTAGTTAGTGTCTGTTGTATATGCACAACCAGCAAATTTGTGGTGTGAAGATTCATTCAAATGTTTGAATCACATCAGTTCAATGTTTAATCACATCAATTCACAATTCAATTTTTGAATCACATCAA